CGTATTTAAAAAAAATCAAGATATTTTTAAAATATTTTAATATATTTTAATACTGGTGCTTTAGTTGTACTTCATTTTAATCCTTCTTGTATGTCTAAAATATTTATTTTCATTCCTATAACTTTTATTCATTTTAGTTTTTATATTTTTTTTAAGCGACCATCTTGATCCCTTATTTTCTATTTTCATCTAATTTATTTCGATCATAATTTTAACATAATACTTTCTCTCACAAATAATTAGAAACTCAGTTATAAAATCTATATTAAAGATTTTTATGGTGTAACACAAATTTTACGAATAGAAATTAAAATAGTTACTTTTTCTAAATGTAAGCCAAAATAGTGACCTTTAAAACTAAACCAATGAACCGCTTAGCTTAATAAGTTAATACAAAGCCTAATTTTATTTTTTAAAATAAAAGCGTTATTTTTATTTTGGGACCATTTTAAATACACGGTTTGGAAAAATAGCGGGGCTAATTGTCAAACAGAAGGGAAGACTAGAAAGGGATATTTTTCAAATAAAGAATACTAAATATTATAAATAAATGCAAAGGCATACGAGTCCGGCACTTTGCAGGCCCCAGAAACCGAAATTTCTTTTGCTCATTATATACCCAACGTTTCTCCTTCCACGAACTTGTCTCTCTTCCGCCATAACCATTTCTTCTGTTTCCAAATCTTGGCCTCTGCCTCCAATTTCTGCTGCTGTTGTCGGTGCCCATTTTCGTTCCGGTGGGAGATTGTATCGATCTCTGTAACAGGTCAGTCGGATCATTTCTTGCAAAGGACATTCTGATTTAAGTTCGTCGTTTTGTTACCATCGGTGCATTTGAAGTTTTTGTATGTTTATAGCATTTATTCTGGATTTTGAATGTTTATACGAATTCGATTGAATGATTGTGTTTTCGTTTTGTTTTGCTTCTGGCATTGATTTTTCTGATATGGGGTTTTCAGATCCGTTACAAATCTAATATGGGTCTATCGAGAATGAAGTTGTTCAGTCGATTTCGGATCTGGATTTTAGCTTGTTCTCTGGTTTTTCAACTCGGCCATGGATTTTACCTTCCTGGTAGCTATCCTCACAATTACATTGTCGGCGACTTGTTGTCTGTGAAGGTGAATTCTCTCACATCTATCGAGACCGAAATGCCCTTTGGCTATTACAGTTTACCGTTTTGTAAGCCTTCTGAGGGTGTTAAGGACAGTGCTGAAAACCTTGGTGAGCTCCTGATGGGAGATCGAATTGAGAATTCGCCTTATCAATTTAAGATGTTCACAAATCAGACGGATATCTTTTCGTGTGCTTCAGATCCATTGACGTCCGATCAGTTTAAGATCATGAAGGAGAGAATTGATGAAATGTATCAGGTCAATTTGATTCTTGACAATTTACCTGCGATCCGTTATACTCAGAAGGAAGGTTATGTCTTAAGGTGGACTGGTTATCCAGTTGGGGTTAAGGTTAAGGATGCCTACTATGTGTTTAACCATTTGAAATTCAAGGTCCTTGTTCACAAATACGAGGAGGCCAATATGGCACGAGTGATGGGGACTGGTGATGCTGCTGAGTTGATCCCGACAATTGGGAAAGAAGGATCGGACGTGCCTGGGTATATGGTTGTTGGGTTTGAGGTGGTACCTTGTAGCATTGTGCACAATGTTGATCAGGTGAAGAACTTGAACATGTACCAAAAGTATCCTAGCGCTATACAGTGCGATCCCACTACCGTGTCGATGCCTATCAAGGAAGGCCAGCCAATTGTTTTTACATATGAAGTTACGTTTGAAGAGAGTGATATCAAATGGCCATCAAGGTGGGATGCTTATCTTAAGATGGAGGGATCCAAAGTCCACTGGTTCTCAATCATGAATTCTATGATGGTGATAACTTTTCTTGCTGGTATTGTTTTTGTTATCTTCTTGAGGACTGTTAGGCGGGATCTGACCCGGTATGAGGAGCTTGACAAGGAGGCACAAGCTCAGATGAATGAAGAGTTATCTGGTTGGAAGCTCGTTGTTGGAGATGTTTTCAGGGCTCCTTCAAATGCTGCACTCTTATGTATTATGGTTGGCAATGGGGTTCAGATTCTTGGAATGGCAGTTGTGACCATATTATTTGCTGCCCTAGGATTCATGTCACCAGCATCTCGTGGGACCCTGATTACTGGTATGCTATTTTTCTATATGATTCTTGGCGTTGCAGCTGGTTATTTCGCTGTTCGTTTATGGAGGACGATCGGTTGTGGTGACAGCAAAGGTTGGATTTCTGTCTCATGGAAGGTCTCATGCTTCTTTCCTGGTATTGCATTTTTGATCTTAACCACTCTGAATTTCCTTTTATGGGGTAGTCACAGCACTGGAGCCATTCCATTTTCCCTTTTTGTTATTCTGCTCTTGCTTTGGTTCTGCATCTCGGTCCCGCTTACACTTGTTGGCGGTTACCTTGGGGCCAAAGCACCTCATATCGAGTACCCAGTCCGTACCAATCAAATTCCTCGGGAAATTCCTGCTCAAAAATATCCATCCTGGTTGTTAGTTCTTGGTGCTGGCACTCTTCCTTTTGGAACCCTATTCATTGAGCTGTTCTTCATCATGTCTAGTATCTGGATGGGCCGTGTCTACTATGTTTTCGGGTTTCTCTTCATCGTTATGATGCTTCTCGTGGTTGTTTGCGCTGAAGTTTCTTTGGTTCTTACCTACATGCATCTCTGTGTGGAGGATTGGAAATGGTGGTGGAAGTCCTTCTTTGCATCTGGTTCAGTTGCCATATACATCTTTTTGTATTCCGTTAACTATCTCATCTTTGATCTCAAGAGCTTGAGCGGCCCGATCTCTTCCACGCTCTACCTCGGGTACTCCTTTCTAATGGTGTTTGCGATCATGCTCGCAACTGGCACAATTGGGTTCCTTTCTTCATTCTGGTTTGTGCATTACTTATTCTCTTCAGTGAAGTTGGATTGATGGAGTTTCTTAGAAGCTGAACAAGAGATCAGTGGCAGTTTAGGGGGGGTGATCAAAGAATACAAATTGTATGGATTGTTTTATTATTACGATATGATATATTAGTTTTCGTCGATTCATTTCAACGAGACGACAACAATAATACCGTCCAGTTTTGATGTATTATTTTCTTTGTGTTTTTAAGGGAGATTGTTGCCTGGATTTTGATACAGACAGATTTCTGATTTGCATTCTGGCACATTAGGCTCTCATACTTTAGATGTTTTAATGGTAGTTTGTAACACATTTATGTGGAATTTTAGTATGTACTTTTAATTGCTGAGATCTATCTGTATCTGTATGCTTTAGAATGCCAAAAAAAAAAGAAAGGGTACAATTTCTTCTGCTCTCATGTTTTTGATAGATATCTTGGTCTGTTACACTTGCAGTATATTTTCTGGTGGGGGATCTTCCACCTCCAAAAAGTATATGCCTTTTTTTTTATATAATCAAATAACTGATTTTCATAAAAACAAACTCGTGGGGAACAGTATTTGAAAATTTAGGTAAGGTTACTGTTTCTTGATTTCTATTTTGTTCATACCTAATTTTTTTTTTTAAATAGTTCATATTTCTCTCATTTTTCAATTATTACTAAATACAATTGTATTTTTATTTATTATTAAAAAATAGATAACAATAAGTCTAAACGTTATCAATTGGACTCTTAGTTGCGACTTTATTCTTGAATTTTGAAAGTAAAACATTCAAAATAGTTTGAATTAGGTTGTTGAATATTGTGCATTACTTATTTATTCTTATGGTTAATGATAATAGTATTAACAAAATGTTGACACCAAAGTTTAACAATGTTTCAACATTGGTTCCCAAAAACAAACGATGTTTCAACATTTCATTAATCATTAATGATGTTGACAGCAACCGTTATATTTAGAACTTCTTTTAGTTGAGAATAGCTACCTATAATATGACAATTTCAATAAAATTTATAATTTAAAATTAATTTCAAACGTATATTTTTTTATGAAAAAGTTAATCTATGGATGGATAGTTTCTTTCCTCATATGTGTGTTCGATGAGATTGAAAATCTCAATTTTATTTTAATTTAATAATTATGAGATGTGAGTATCGCATTATCAATTGTTGCGAGGATAATAAGTGTCTTATCCATTGAGCTATATTCGAAATACTAACGTCTCGACTCTTGATCTTGCCCACCTGTTAATTTAGAAAATAAAATTGATTTAGTTATTGCACTCTAAAAATTTAGAATGAAGTCTTAACATTAAAATTATCGTAAAACTTTCACAAAGAGGCAACTTAGGCATAAAATGAATAAAGTCAATTACATTAAAACTCAAGTGAATGAAGCAAAAGATTAATTCAATTATAGTTTAATTTGTTTATTACTAATGTCAATCTATAAGAGTACGAACAAAATTTGGTACATGCTCAAAGGTTGAAATCTTCACCCACAATTGCTATATTGCATTTAAAAATATATATATACTGAAAGTCTATTATATTATAGCTAAATCATGACATGAACAATAACTAAACACTGACTAATCAAGTCCCATCTTCTACTACCATTGAAAATGTTGCAACTATTTATTAAATTTTTTTTTTTAATTTACATTTCTCTTCTGCATTTCAAAAATTTAAATTTGATATGAACATTCATGGTTAGTACTGAGTATTTAAATCTATGCATAGACTAAATTATACACTACTTCCTTCCCAACCATATGACAGCAATCTTCTCACTGACCATCATCCACCGCTAAGACAATTATGTTTTTTTTTCTTAAATAAAAAAAATTCACTTCTCTCTCCTACCTGTCAATAATATATAATTTCTCTCTCCTACCTATCAATAATATATAATTCCAGACATTGTAAAGATAAAAAATATGTCTCCTAATTTAGTAATTTAATCAATTGAATTACATTGAAGTTTTTATTTTATTTTATTTTTATTTTAACTTAGTTAGCTATTTTCAGTCTTCAATGAGCTTATTTTCTTTTTGTTTGTTAGTTCATCTTCCCCACTTATCTCTTTGTTGAGTGACGAATCTTCTCTCTCGCGGTTTTGTTGATATCGTCCAACAAAATAATAATTTCCCCTCCAAAATTTCGTCGCATTGAATTTTTCTCGATCCTCCATTTGAACTACACCACTAAATTGCTTCACCGTTATCCTCACAGCTTCAGCCAGTTCCAGTTCCAACTCCCATGGTGTGATCACAGCACAAGCCAGAAACAATGGCGTCCACTTCACTTCCTTCCGTACATTCCAGCAATGTCTCTTCCGCGCCCTCAATCGCACCTCTTGCAGGACCTTCTTTCTACATGTCGTCTTCTTCTTCCTCCTGTTCATCTCTCTCTATTCGACCATCCTCACTTCGTCCTACTCGCCTTCGCTCTTCCTCTATCTTCGCCGACTCCCGTTCGAGGCGAATCCCTAAATTGAAGGTTTGGTTTCTGGATTTCCGTTGTCCGTATCGTTGTGTTTCGTTATGTCATGTGAGATCGTGTGTTTGTTAGGGGCTGAAGGTGAACTGTGCAGCTGGGGAGCCGCTAAAGGTGATGATATCGGGTGCTCCAGCCTCCGGCAAAGGAACTCAGTGCGAGTTGATCGTTCAGAAGGTAATTGAAGTTCTTTTAGTGACTCGTGTTCAGAAGGAAATCCTATCAGTTAGTTACTAAAACATCCTCTAAAATAGACTAAATAGTTGTTCCGGAATATGTAATTTAGCCTGAAATGTGGATCAAATGCCTTCGTGAACGCTTAATTATCGGTTTTTCACTTAATTGAGACCAATAAGTTATGATTTCATTGATAGGATCTGGGTGTAAAATGTGAAGTAAATGACAGCTCTGAGACTGGAATTTGCAATTTGACTTCTACTCTCCTTCATAGAATCATAAGTTTAACATCCTAAATCCTACTTGATATGTGTTGGTCTGTAATTTGTATGTTATTATTTTAAAATAGTCAAGTAAAGTAATTATAACCACATGAATACATAACCAAGAAAACATGAAGTATACCAACATTGATTTCATATTTATTGATCTATTCAACATTAGTTACAACCATATCATGGATACTATTTGAAACTTCTTGAGCTATATAAGTGTTTTTGGAATTGGCCGTATGATGTGAGAGCTATATCAGCACCATGGGGCTAAGAAGCATAGACTATTTAGTTTGGATAATGTGTCCATGTTGGACACTCTGACGCTCTGACACTTATTGGATATTTGTTAGCTCAAAATATGTATGTCACACTAGTTGTTCAAAGTGAATATGGATAGCATGGGGTCTTGATACAAATGTAATGACTCGAGTCTGCTTGCTGAGATTTTATTATTTAGATAGAAAATTATGTAGCTGACAATTAACACAAGCAGGATATTTCCATATTATCATATTTTGATTGTCAATGAAAGGTTGCAATTAGTTATTATGCAACAATGTTGACACGATTCAAACTTTGCGCTGGTTTTTGAGGATTGAGATCACTGGCAATTCAACAATTACTTATACAAGTACCGGAAAAAAGAAGAAAGAAAGAAAGAAAGAAAGAAAATTACCTTTGTCTCATTCTTAACTTGTTTGGTAGAAGAAAATGTCAAAAGGCTTATTACTGTAGTTTATTATTTTATTTAGTGTCATTTACTTACTCGATTGATTTCTCTTCATTCTTCAGTTTGGCCTTGTGCATATATCAACTGGCGACATATTAAGAGCAGAAATTTCAGCTGGGTCCGAAATTGGAAATAAAGCAAAGGAGTTCATGAATTCTGGACGGCTAGTTCCTGATGAAATTGTGACTACAGTAGGATGTGGATCTAGCTTTTTCTAGCTTAACATTCACTTTCTTGTTTGCGTGGTATTCATGGTACGAGCTTATTTTGATTTGTAGATGGTGACTACACGATTATCATGTGAGGATGCAACAGAAAAGGGGTGGCTTTTAGATGGATATCCTCGAACCCTTTCGCAAGCAGAAAGTTTGCAGAGGTTGCAGATTAAACCAGATGTTTATCTTATTTTAGATGTATGTACATCATATACTAATCTCCATTTCTTGAGGCATTACTTTTTGGTGGTGAAAAGCGGCATTAAGAATTTTTAATGAATCTATATTGGAAGTTGGGTGATAACTGTGTAATGAAAGTTCAATGCATCCCGTAGAAGGCTTCTCAATTCTTACAATGTTATTCATACATCCATGAAGCAGTCATTTTGCAAGTTATTTTTATTAAACTAAATGCCTAAGACTTACTTCACAGTTTGATATCAAGAGATCTTACACTTCATTCAAATTCACGACAGAATATGGTATTCAAGATATGATTCTACCTTGAAGGCAAGATAGAATTTAGACCATTTATACATCCATAGACTCATTTACTACTTCTTGTGGATTATCTATTGGACTTTCATCATCTCTTAAACCTGTTATTGAAATTTTGACACTACCTAGAAAGAACATTTAAGATAACCACTTAAAGCAAAATACATCCCTTTTTTTATTTTATCAATGATGTACATTATGTTTGAAATAAGTCTCAGTTTTATACCCTTTGAATTCACATTCCGTCTTTGTTTATATTTCCCCCCTTTTGGCCGGCTGCTTCAAATCATTTGACTTCATTTTCCTGTGGATAGGCTCTTTCGTATAAGTTGACTGTAAATCTGTTGTTAATAGCACAAGGAGTAGGCTCTGTTTTGAGCAAATTCAAATTTCTTCTTCATCAGTATATCAGTGAGGTCAATAATGAATATCGTTCTTGTAGTCTTTTAGATAACCATTTCTATATTTTTGTTTGATTTTAAATTTCTAATACTCAGGTTCCTGATGAAATTCTAATCGACAGATGCATTGGTCGAAGGCTTGACCCAGAGACAGGAAAGATTTACCATCTGAAATATTTTCCCCCAGAAACAGAGGAAATTAAAGGGAGACTTGTCACCCGGCCTGATGACACTGAGGAAAAAGTTAGTTACTTCTAATAAATTGTTTAAATATTTTCAGAAAATGGTGCTATGTGCTTGTTTTTGTATGTAGGATTGGCTGACTATGCACTCGTTTTAGGCACCTTTACAATTACTTTATGTGATTCACGTTCAGGTGAAGCAGCGTTTGGAAATTTACAAACGTAATGCAGAGGCAATAGCACCAGTATACTTAAATATTACAAAGAAGGTACTTAATTAGTATACCTTCTTGTTTTTGTTTGTTAAGGGTATGTTAGTCATTGAGTTAGGGATTGGTTCTAGATAGGGTGATAGGGAAAGGATGAAGGTAGTCAATTAGTGAGTATGGTTTAGGCTTGAGTAAGGACACTCAAGAAAGGGGAGGGTCCAAGTACCTCGAATTACTTGGGAGTATTGTAGTTATTCTCTTTTGTATTTCAATATATTGTTAGTTGTTCGGATTCTATCAATATCTTCTGTCTAATTCTAGAGTTCATTTCTAACCTTTGTTTTTTCTATGAATATTAAATTGTAATGATCATAATGCTCTACAATCTGTAAATACAGATTGATGGAAGCCGTTCCAAAGAAGAAATTTTTGAAGAAATATCATCAGTATTATCACAGATGCAGAAAGAAAAAGCTACGAAGTTTGGTAATTGTTTGTGTTCTTGTGAAGTTCATTACAATTTCTTACCAAATAATTGGAAGTATCTTCAGTATAGCTTGTCTTTATAATTTTGGATTTAATGATATTCAGTTGCTGCTGTTTCTTTGAAATGTTTAATCTGATCTTAGACATTTTCCTCCATACAAGAAAACCTATTTCTTTCTTGTCCACATCTGGGCCACAAGTCTTTCTGGAGAAAGTTGCTCTAGCCCCTATCTGACAACTTACGCATCATTATTGTTATTTTTTTATGTGCATTTCTTGGGTCAAATCTGCCTATGCTTTAGTTAAGTTTACGTGGGAATCTCTTTGTCCAGACTTATTATGCATTTTCATCGCTGGAAGAATGTAATCTGAAACAATAAACGGTTCATGGGTTTTTATTTAAGAAGTGTTAATATTTACCGTCTTTAGTAAGTAATGATTTTATCAGACAATGGAGCATACTTCTTGTTTATATCAGTATGAGATTGTTTGTATTATTATCAAATCGCACCCTGCATTTCTTGTGTATTAGGGAAATCAACCCTTGGATTCAAGAGTACTTCAGGTCAGGTATGCTCTGAAAGATTGAGAATAGGAAATTTGAAATGATAATTATTTTTCGGAAATCATGTGTTTATAATGGACATTTATAATAAGATTCCCTTGAATTTATACGCATATATGTGATATTGTAATAAGATTCCCTCAAATATATAAATATATGTGTGTACATATTCATCTTTTCTCTTTCTACAGGATAGCTGGAGAGGCATTCCAACTAGATTGAATAACATTCCTCACTCCAGAGAAATCAGGAAATATTTTTACGATGATGTGCTTGAAGCTACCAAGCGAGCTGTAAAAGATGGTAGAACTAGATTAAAGGTTTGGTGTTGACCTTAATGTTATTCAGAAAAAGATTATTTTCCTGTGTTATAGAATTCATATCCCTCCTTGATATATTGTCCTCTCTTGATTCTTTCTAATAAAATACCGTAGGCATACTTTTAGTAAATTTTGAGGTTGGATATCCTGCCCCCACAAGCTTCGTACAAGTCACATTTTGTGGAGTTGCAATTTGGCTATACAGTTCTAGCTAAAAACAGCTGATTCTTTCTTTGAATTCGTTGGATCCTGTTATTATTTCCATGTGCAGTGTTCTTACTCTATTGTGTACTGGAATATATTTTTTCTGCCTTTCTGATGCACGTGGAGTTTAAGGGCTCTTGAATTGTTAAGACTGTTGCATTTTTTACTTCAGTTCAGTGTTATGAATGGTTTCGTTGTAGTGAATGTATCTTTCATAAATTATGTGACACTTCGATAGCCTTTAATGTTATACTTGTGCAATCCATTAGGAATTGAAAGGCAACAATAGGGTCCATGAGTGGGAGATGTACCCCATAGATTTTCACATTGTCATCAAAACATGTCTTCAGAGTCTGATCATTTATGTTTCTTTTGAATCTCAATCAACAGGTGGAGATCAATATTCCTGAGCTTAATCCTGAAATGGTAGGAAGCTTACTTCTCCTGGTTCCCCTAAAAACAATGAGTTAACCACATCTACAATGCACAGGATGTCTATCGAATAGGTACACTTATGGAACTTGTTCGGACTATTGCCCTTTCATTTGCTGATGATGGAAGACGTGTCAAGGTAACTTCTCTGATTTCTCTCAAGACCAGAGTGCTGGTTTCCACCCTCTGAAATTCTATCTTCAAGGTATGCATTCAAGGATCCATGGGGGAAGGTGCACTTTCTGGAATGCCACTGCAGCTTGCTGGAACTCGGAGAATCTTAGAATACATGGACTGGGGCGACTATGGTGCTTTTGGGACCTTTGTCAAGATTGGTTCAATTGGTACTGTAATCAATTTATGAAAGATTAGTTTATGCATCATTAGTTTGCACCTGTGCACGTTGACAGGAATGGAGTGTCTATTTTGTGTCTTTCGGTGAAATTCTAAAACTTGGGAACAGTAGCAAGAGTAGTTGTTTCTAATTCCTGTAGGCAAGAACGAACATGGATACGTAGTGTTTTTGGCTATGTTGGAGTTCCGAAGGAAATTGGTGGGGAGTTTTGTAGAAGGCCCTCTGCCAAATTTTTTGGTAAGTTCCTTTGAGGTGTGGTGCAACAGAATTTGAAAAGATAGAGGATTTCTCTTCACCTATTTTGAATAGATGACCCGTTGTTTCAGACTCTTTATACAGCCCTGATATTGCCACTCTCGTGACAGTCATCTAAGACTAAAGGAGGTTAGAAGTTTAGAACTAAACAGGTCTTAACTAGGCTTGAACAATTCTTAAATAAAGAGACTAGACTTGAAAAATACGACCAAGAACCCAACAAGACCTATGCACTTGAAGTAATAACCAATAACTGCTTGATGAATGGGTGTCAAGAGATCCTACAGGATAAATCTAGTTGCAGAATCCTTTGAATAAAGCCTCTCCAAGGAAACCCAGTCCTTCTATTTGGTTGTCATGATCCGAAGTTAGACCATGGCCATCACCAAGAACGAGTATACAAATGGATCTCTCACTCTTTCCAACAGAAGTCTTATGAAAGAAATTCCCAATTCCTTCTTAAACTCCATGGAGTATGCATGTTTACTCCATTCAATTTCTTCTTACATAGAAGTATCCCACAACTGGTATCTGAGATTAATGTTAATGACGTGAATCTGTTCTATGGAGAGCAAGGAAGATCCTTCAACTACATCTGTAGTTTCTAGGTGCATCTCATCCAACAGGTTGGAATACCCTGCATGATCCAAGAGAATCAAAAGAACTAAGTTAAAAGTAATATCTCACCTTTGAAAAGTTTGTTTCTTGTTCAAAGAAAAAAAAATCTCACCTTTGAATTTGTTCACCTTCTGATTTATATATATAAGGTTTTTCATTTGGTTTGGCCTTATAATGTTTGTCCCAACATACACATCGAGATATACATACTATGGGAGCATTAATGCAAACATCAATCAAGTCATTCCCCGATTTCCATCTATTTGCAGAGAACTTGATTGCCAAATTATTCACATTCATTTTGTAAATGCAGGTGCAAAAGAAGTTGATGAGCAAGATGACATGTTCGTCTTAGTAGCGCCTCAAAATGCTGTTGGAAATTGTATTATTGACGTAAGTAACACTAGATATTTTCAACTCTATTTAATAGGGAAGTGAAACTCTCTGATTTAGGATGAAGCTTTGTAAAGATGATGAGGTTAAGTGAATGCAGGATATGAAAGCGATGACAGATGCAGCTGCTGACCGACCTGTTATTCTCGTAAATCCTAGGCTCAAGGTTTGTTTCTAAGTGACTCTAAGCTTTGGCTTGATTTGATATTCTGCTAGAAATTCTCGTAAATCCTAGGCTCAAGGTTTGTTTCTAAGTGACTCTAAGCTTGGCTTGATTTGATATTCTGCTAGAAATTCTCGTAAATCCTAGGCTCAAGGTTTGTTTCCAAGTGACTCTAAGCTTGACTTGATTTGATTTTCTGCTAGAAATACTGTCTTTCATCCTAGTAGCAGTATGACGTCGAGGCGCTTGCAACCATAAAAGCCATGAGATAACCGTAAATGAAGTAAGAAAGCAGAGTAGAAACTGCGAGTTGGAAAAAATATTCACTTTCAATCTTCTGTAGTACGTTCCTTTCTCACATTCACAGTTTAGCTACTACCCTACAAAATTTCAAGCTTTAGTGTGGTTTTAATCAAAGACAGACAGACAGACTTGAGACACCCAAGAGATACATAAAACACAGTTCCCCTCTCGTAGTTGGTAATGAAACAAAGTGAACAAGAACAAATCATAGGTGATATTGGGGAGATTGCGAATGCCAAGACCGGACTCCACGGTTTCGATCATTCCAAATAACCTCCATTCCTGCTAGGGTCATCAATGCTTTTTAGTATATGATCTTTTTTCATTAAAAAAAAACTACATATATAAAATATCCTTCCTTTTTATCGCACATTTGGGAAACCTAATTGGACACTTTGTAAGATTCTAGCAATGCCTATTAATCTGTGCTGGGATCATCTTGCCAAAAATATATAGTTTTGAGTAGGTGATTTTTGGAACTGAAGCTCACACCATAAACGGAATCCCTACCCTTCGCTTTATTGGGCGCGTGGGAGAACGACGGAATCCCTATCCTTTGCTTTGGCGCGCGAGAGAACGAAGGAGAGGCAAGGATTCTTATAGGCTCAGCACCACTCTGTGTTGCCGGTGAAGCCACCATTAATACAAGAAGTCACCGGATATCGAAGTAAATTGAAGGGGGAAGACATTGAGACATCAATTGAAATTACGAAATAATGAAAATAACATGATGTTTTTGTGTTAAGTAGACATTCGTTGTGAATTGGATCATGTTACCTCACTACTTTTTGTGTTTATCGTGTAATTTGATGATGAATTTCTTTGAAATTTTCAGGATTTACCTGGTTCGAGTGGTATCATGCAAGTAAGTACTAAAAACATCGATTTGGAATGACTTCCGAGTAGAGCACGATTCTGATGCTTCCCCTTTTTATTTAGACAATGGGTCGTGACAAAAGGTTGGAGTATGCAGCATCATTCCAAATCTGTTATTTCTTTCGGCTTCTCTATTATGCGGGAACACAGTATCCAATCATGGGGGCTCTCAGGTAAATTAAGAGATTATCCAAATGTTAAAGTTGAGTGCTTCTTGAGCCTGTAAACTCCTGTCGAATTCCATATATAACCCCAACTTCAGTGTCTGCTTATAAAATATGAATTTGATTGGAAAATGAGTAGCGCCCTAGAGAATAAGTTGTGCTTGGACTAGGAAATAGAGCACTGAACCTGTTCGTGCAAGAAGTTAAATGATTTCCTTCACACATCATAAATATTTGAATCAAATTCAGGTTGTGGGTTATGCTTTAATCTCCTAATGTTTGTTTTAGGATGTCTCACCCATATGGGTATGAACTCTACAAAAGGGTGGATGAATCTTCCGGTAAGGAAAGGTATGTTATGCTATCCAAGTTTCCCAGCAGACCATCCACTGATGATATCAATAACGCCTTTCAAGGAAAACAAAGGTAATAAGAAGAGCAATAAGAAACTTCAATTCTTCACCTTTTTACCACCAAAATTTGCTCTCTGATCCAATTACTGCTATTGTGTTTGATATACTGGCAGAAACGAAGTTAAGAAGTCGTCGGGAATCTGGTAAGAACACTAACACCCTTAAAATCTTAAAAGAACTTGTAGGACTGAATTGATTCTTTTTTTTTTAACTCAATTCAGGGGCTTCTTGAGCGGTATCTTTTGAGCTAGAGCTGCAAGCAAAATAGATTCTTAAGTGCAATCATTTACAGAGAAAGAAACCAAATCTTCTGTATGATTTTATACATTGAAATCTGTCTGGAGAAACAAAGCAAAGATACGCAACTTCAAATTCTTCGAAACCTAGCTTAGTTCAAAGCATATATCTAAGAAACTCCTATAGGAAAACCCACACCAAACTTAAAATCCCATTAGCTTCTAAGAAAACCCACACCAAGTCACCAACAAAGACCCACTATAACGAAACGCTCAGAGAGATGTAAAGTAGAGCTATGTTGTTCTATGAGAAAGAAAATCAAATCCACCTAAGAACCCTAATCGATCTGAGTAACAGAAACCTAGAAGAACTGCCATGTTGCTTCACTTCAGCCAGTTCATCTGCTCGCAACTCAGACATCTCCCTGTTGAAAAAATAAAGGGAGATGCTGAGGTAAAACCGAACAATCACCATCGAAAGTAAGAACACATCATATTCTGTCATCACTGAATTCTGGAGTAATCAAACCCAGCCCCCGACCGTCCAAGACCATTTTGGATTGTTCACTTCTTTTGCTCGACGTGATCAGTCCAAATCAAGTCGCAGCAACCGCCGCAGGTCGCTTGTTGCGGTGCCGTTGTTGCCTAAAAACGACGGCAACGGTACCGAACTCGGTGGCGGTGAGGCAAAGAAAGCGCCCGATCCAGCATAGATCCCATCGGCAACCTTCAATTCCGAAAACACAACCTGCTTCTGCATCAAATCCGGGTCTGGACCCAACCGATCAGTGGATCCTAAACCCAAATCCATATCGTCGGCCTTCAATTCCAACCTCCGCTTGCCACAATCAACACCACCAACTCCTCGATCCGGAGTCAACATCTCCCCACGCTTCAGGATCTTGACCTGGCCCATAACCAGAGCCTTAGGTGAAACCTTTGCCGCCGCCGACGGCGCCGTGGACGGCTCTCCCGACCGACTCCGACCTCTGTTGGCTTGACGATTAGACTTAACTCCTACCGCCGGGCTCCTCCGTCGCCGGCCGGAAGACACGTCGTGGTTAAAGTTAGGGTTGGTGGAAGAACTAGGGTTAGGTTTAGAATTTCGCCGCGATTTTAATGGAGCGGAGAGAACCAGACCTTGGCGGCGAAGCCCGTTCCCAAGGCAGTCCTGCGGCGGAAGAATTACGGTGGCCATCTCTTCTGTGAAGAAACGTAAAAGCCAGAACGAAAGGAAGAAGAAGAGAGAGAAAGCAAGAAGAGAGATGAATTGAGATGGAAGAATATTATCGTCTTCTTTAATAAGAGGATTTTCAGGGATGCATAATCGAGAAATGAAACGGAGCTTATATAGAGATTTCTCGATAGGTTTCCGCACGAACCACACGTGCGATCGTGAACCGCCTCATGGGCGTGACGTGTACCACCCGCAATTGATATAACTGTGTCACGGACGAATTTGATTGGAGGAATTACGTCGTTACTTGCTCCACGCCCACCATAGTTTATTGTTTTTTTTTTTTTTTTTGCGTTTGTTTGTCGTGGATTTATATCAACAAACATTATCTTTATCAACCCCTCTAAAATTTAGAAATTAAAGAAATTTTAAAATTTTTTGGTCCTCGACTGTTAAATTTAATATATATTTTAATTTTGCACTTTCAATATATCTAATTTAGATTAATTTAGATTTGTTTTAGTAGTTCAACATTCAAAAGGTTTATTTTAAATTTTTGAAATTTTAAAAATAATTATTTTATTTTTAAAATCCGTTTACTTAAGACTAAAGATAAGATATTAAAATATAATAATTTAAAACTAATTAGGACTGGTTTATACTTTTGTTGGCTGAATTTACGAGGATGTGATTTGGAGACGTGTCGACGTGGGTAACCGTGTGGCTAATATGTAATTTATGGAAAAAGGAAGGGCAGAAGTGTAAAGTAAAAAAATCATAATTGGGACAAAGTAAAAGCGACGCGCAAGAAAAGTACCGCGCATGTTTGATGTTCCCGGAAAGCTCCTAATATTGACACGTGTTGTATGGGTCAACCGACGTGCCCTAGGAGCTCCGGCATAATATGGTTTTTTTTTTCTTTTTTCTTTTTTTACTCTTTTCTTTCCCTAATTCTTCAATTTTGGATGTATGTTTTTTCCTTTTTAATTTACTTATGTGCTTATAATAAAATACATAGTTGCTTTTCGCACTAAAACGTAAATTAATAGACATAAAAGTAAAATCTAAGCGTATACATAGGTAAATTAATTAAAAAATCTCTCCTTAAAACGAAAAAAAGCTGTGAGTTTAAATTTTCATCTCGACTAAAAACCACAAATTATTATCAATTTAGTTTGTATCGTAAAAAAATCTTATCAAAATTAAGTGTTGATCTTTTTCATATAACGATTTACTCTGTGTAATTTATAAATACATTTGAGGTGTGTTTGAGAGTGATTTTGGTATGGTCAAAATCACTTTTGTCGTTGTTAAAATAATTTTCTTTTCCATTAACCATGTTTGATAATTAAGAAATTGATTTTAGAAAAAGTTAAAATCACTTTAAATTGATTTTTAATGTATTACTTGAATGGTGATTTTGGTAAATAAGTCTTTTTTCAAATATCACTAATTCTACTATCACTTTTAAACACACCTTTAGTTTTTCATCGATTTATCAATAATTAAATCATCATGGTGTGACCACTGAGAGTCAATATAAATACTAAATAGTTTAAAGGGAGTACGTTCAAACCATACTAGCCATATCCTACGAATTAAGATAGTCCAATTATTTCCAATTTGTTAGTATGTGGATTAAATTAAAGTTAAACAGGTAAGGACCAAAAGCCAAATTATTAAAAAAAAAAATTTCAAATGTTGGGTATTATCTTCGGTATCTTCCAAAAATGGCGGACAATGCGAATGCTCCGCTGCTGATTCGAAGACATAAGCCAAATTATGGCTCCAAGGGACCACTAACGTTCACTCCTCAATTGCTGATTAAAGTGTAAAGTGTCGTGAGCATCTCTTTAAGGTTTGGATTACTTCTCTATTTATAGGAGTTCAATTCTGAACCTTCTAGGAAATGTGGAATTCGAATCTTGATACACTTAGGAAATCTGGTTATCTCTACAACATATGAGAGTGGGGGATCGAACTCACACCCTCATAGTTAGAGGTATATGCCATTTGTCGCTCAACTATGCTCGCTTTGACTATACCTACTCATTGATTAGTTATCTTGACAACCAAATGGAGGTGCACATAAGTTAGTCCAATTAATACCAATTTATTAGTATATGGATTAAATTAAAGTTGAGGAGGTAAGTACGGAAAGCCAAATTAAAAAACAAAATAATTCAAATGTGGGGCAGTGGGATTGCTATTAACTTCGGTATCTTCCAAAAATGGCTCAATTCAGGGACCAATGTCGCTCATCCTTCCGCGGCTGATTCGAAGACAAAAAAAATTTTAGCAACCCTGTTTCAAAAAAGATGAGAAACAAAAACAATAAATAGTTTTCAAACACCTACATTTTTTGATAATATTGAAAATAAGAAACAAAACAAATGACAACATTACTAAATATATTTGAATATGTCAATTACCACTTAACTATGCTCGTTTTGACTATATCTACTCAATGGCCAGTAAACTAGCACTTTTTTTATTTATAAAAAATATAGTGATAATCAAAATACTATTTTTTTTATAGTACAAACATGAGATGACTACTAAACCTAGTAGCCTAAGTATTATTCTAACATTTTTAGGTTAAATATAAGTTTGGCTCATTATTTTCAAAAAAAATAAAAAATAAAGATAAAAATTGACTCATTAACATTCGAGAGTTCTTTTTTTAGTTCATTTGAAATGATGACATTTTAATGATATATGTTTTAACTATATATATATTTTTTTAGATATACCTTAAACAAAGAATTTTAGTTAATGATATATATCTTTTGAAACTTATTTAAGACGAGTCTGTATATTTCTTGATTCTCAAACGACAGTATTAGTTTTAACTAACATGTCATGCAACCAATCACTTGAAAAAAAATTGATTTTTGTTAATTAGTGAATAAAATTTTGTTGACAAACAAGTTAATTTAGATGTTGGGCAGCACCAGGTGACATGTTCACGTATTTAAATGGGTTAATAAAATCATAACTTAATAATAAATAAACTTTTTTATTACATACAATTTAACAACTTTTGTTAACCTAAGTATAGCTCACATTTATCTTTAAACCAAAAATTTGTAAGTTCAAATTTTCATCCCTATATGTTGTATTAAAAAAAATAACTATTTTGTGTTTGTTTAGAATGACTTAATTGAAAATTTTTAATACATGAATGATAAAATTAAAGACCAAATTGAAAATGGACTTAAATAACCGACATGAACTTAACTCAGCAGGAATTAACACTTGCCTCTAACACGAGATTATCGGTTCGAATTCCCTAACCCTTTTTGTTGTAAAAGAAAAATGGAAAATGGACTTAAGTTTTGGCATCATCCACCTTTAAAAATTGAGATTTTAAAATGCAAAACGAACGAAAAAAAAAAAATATATATATATATATATTTATTTATTTATTTATTTATTTTCCAATAAAAAAGCGAATAGTGGTAGCAGCAATATAAATGTAATTTAATTATTTGACATAAATAATGGGTCCACATAGTAGTTAAGTCAATCAAATTATTGGGCGTTTCATAAAAATTAAATTAAATTAAATTATTGGGCTAAAAAAAGAAAGACTACGTGGCAATCCATCAGCGTCACGCGACCAAAAGTCATGGCCGACCAGCCGGTCTAATCCACCTTTATAGTATTTACTATTGTAGTTTTTTTTATTTAATATCCATAAATAATACAATAAATAAATAAATATTTTTATTGAGATTCTGAGAATATCATCATTTGCGGTGTAATATTTATTTAGAAATGTAAGTTTATGAAATAATTGGCATTGACAAGGAAAATCGGACATTAATCAAATTTCTCAATTGATAATAGATTGTCCGGCAAATACTCATTTTAATTTTTTTATTTATCCTCCAAATAATATTTTTATAGTACAATAATAGAGTAACGATATTCGAATTCATAACTTTTTAATGAGATAAATGTCAATTATTATTCATAGAGTAACGATATTCGAATTCATAACTTTTTAATGAGATAAATGTCAATTATTATTCATATTGTCTATCCATTGTTATTTGTTATAGAAAATAAGTATTATTTTTATAACATTATATATATAGACACTATATACATATACCTAAATTATCTTTAACCATCACAAAATACACATGAAATTATTTATAATATATATATATATATAATTTAGGTTGAAATTCAAAATATTGTAGTTTTTTAGACAAATGTGTTAAAAACTTAAAACTACAATACTTTTTTCGCAATAATTTGAAAGTTAAAAAGATAAACTAAACTTCAAAATCCACTTGAAAAAAAAAGTGAACCCAATCATTCATGGGATTATCGAGAATAACACAATAAAAAACATATTTTATTTTTCTAAAAAGTGCTAAAGGAATGTATACTACATTATCGATTGTGACATGAGAACTTTTTCCATTCAATTAAAAATTGTTGGTTTATAATGGATCAAAACTCAATAAATAAATAATTTAGGTAAAAAGAATCAATAAATAATTAATAAACAATAAAGATTTAGAATAAGATAATTTTTTTGTTTTAAAATTCGGAATCGGGACTAAACTAAAAATATTTGTGAAGTTTTAAGGAAAAAAAAAGTTAACACGATTGTTTATTTTCAAACATAAGAAAAAGAGCCTAGACTTGGAACTCAATTTTTATTTATGTTTTTGTTTATTTTAATCTATTTATTTATCTATTTTAATATCTATATTTTAAATTTTTATTTAATTTAATATTATTCTATTGGATACATCAATTTCTACAAATCATTTTATCTGTATTTTCAAACTTTAGATACAAATTTTATATATAAGAAACTCTTTAATACACTGTTTTAAAAAAAAAACTCTTCAATATATATTTATGACTATATTATAAGAAGTTGCAGTGGATGAATGTTACGCTCAAATATGATTAAAATAAATTATAAAAAAAAATGGTAACAAAAATATATGTTTTGAGAGTATATATACTAAATTAATAAAAACTAAAAGTACGAAAATTAAAATATGAAAGGATAATGGGCTAAAATAAAACCAGAAATAAAATAGTATTAAGAAAAGAGAGAGAAAAAGAAAAAGGAAAAAGAAAAATAAAAAATGAAGGAACGGTTGTTCGTTCGTTCGTTGGTCAGAGGTAGAACGCGGAATAATTTTCCACCTTGGTTGTAATCTTGTAGGTGGAGGAATCAGCCCCGTCTCCCTCCAAGATTCACAATCACGCGGGCTCTCGATTTTCTCTCCCAAATTTCCCATTATCCAAACATCTTGGGGGAGGTCTCCCGATCATCTTCTCGCCTGATTTCCGATCAGAATCACCTGTTTTCCCGCCGGAGGGAGCTGGGGATGGAGACGTCGTCGTTGAAGAAGGCGGGGAGCGGGAGCGGGAGCGAAGGGCCGACACATAGTGTCGCCGGAGGAAGAGGAGGGGAGGAGAGGGGTTCGTTTGAGTATTTCGGCTGGGTGTATCATATCGGAGTCAATTCTATTGGCCACGAGTACTGCCATCTTCGATTCCTCTTTATTCGTCGCAAGTATGTCGAGTTGTATAAGCGTGATCCTCACGAGAATCCCGGCATTGTAAGAGTTTCTTTCATTTTCTATTCTTCCTATTGTTTGAATGTGTCGGTGGTGTTGCTAAGACGTGCGTGTGAATCATGAATGTTTATTCTCTTTATTGGAATTAATTGATTGCTCGGTACACTGCGTTGCGGGAAATTAAACGTTTCTATTCGTTTCTTTGGCTTTCTTACTATTAAACAATTTCATATTGAGGTTGATCAAGCATCCTATTGTTATTTTAAGATCAGATTTCCAATTCCTTGTCAGGACATTAGCAAATTTTAGGATTGGGGTGGTCAGGGATCGAGAATGTACGATCACGGATCCCCCCATCCGGTGGTGACAAGAATACCAAGAACAGGAAGGGGAGGAAAGTTACGAACTTATTCTTGTTTGTTTGTTTTTTTAAATGAGGACAACTTATTCATCTTATTACTTATTGGAAGGTGTCTTAAAACATTCAAACTAGTTTCAGATCCAAGTATTCTTTCCTTGGCAAGGGCAATAAGTTTTGTCATGAAGAAAATTGATGACCCTTGAACCGATTCACCATTTCCAATGTGAAGATAGTCAGTACTGAGTAATGACTCAATGGTAATTTATAAGCATGCAATTACTATAAGAGTATAAGTTAATAGCATTGTTTAATTACCAACTATTTTTTTAGTACAACAAGTGGAGGGGGATTCGAACCCATGAACACTTGATAACAGACTAGTGCCAATTATCGTTGAGCTAAGCTCTTGTTGGCGGTGTAATTACCAACTTGAGCTCAGCTCACCTGTAAAAACATATAACTGGTTCCCTTGAGGTTAGAGGTTCAGATCTCACATCCCAACATTTGGTGTACTAAAAATAAAATATATAATGTAGAAAAATATTTTAGAATATTAAAACACTAATGGTGATATACGAATACCTTGTGCTCAATTTTGAACCATTTAAAAAGATTTGTTATAAATTTTTTTCCAAATAGATTGATATTCCGTACAACATTATCATAAATATTTATTAATTATCACGAAGTTTAATGTTTTAGACTTTTAAAATTGAGATATTAATTATTAATATTAGTTTAGAAATTTACTAAAAGTATGAGGAAAGTATTGTCAGAGAACAAAGTTTCTTCACTATATGTATATTTATAGTATAGGTATAAATTTCCACATACTAGAGTTCTTGTTGATTAAAATTGAAAGGCATGAATTTTGTCTGACGTACTTAAATTCCAACAGTGCAACATCAAATCCAAAACTTAAGGATGAGTTGGGCAATTTAGAATTTTAAATTTCTCATAGCATATTTGCAATTTTTTGTAGTAGATTTTTTTATATAACTATTAAGAGCCATGCTTTATACGTCCATATGACAAGGAGTTAGTATGGTGAACTTTGCCAGAATCTCTTTTCTTAGTTTTATTGAATACCTGCATCAAGATTCAATGCCCCCTACATGTGAAAACAGTTCTTGTGATTTATTTATATGTTAGACGCCTTAGGTATTGGTTTGGCTGTATTTTAGCCTTTTCTCTTGTACTTTCATTCTTCTTCAGGGAATATGACTTCCTCCATAATAAAGAATAAATCTAGTTCTAGGTTTCAACTTTGGAAGTTTTCATTTATGGGTGAACTGAGTATTTAATTTGTTGAGCTGTGTGCTCGTGTTATCCTATCACATATCTGTTTTGCTTTTCCTTTTTCTTATTCCACTTTTCTGTAAGGTATCTTCGGTATTGATTGGATTAGAGTCTTGTCCTTCTCATGGAATTAACCACTCATAATGCATTCAGATCTTGGTTCTGCATTTCTCTATTTATGTCGTGCTTGTCAATGTCTTTACGTTGTGATAATTTATTTTATTTAATTTTAATACGTGTTCATTTGTACTTCTTTTTGTAGAAACCCATCAGGAGGGGTGTTGTGGGGCCGTCACTTATGGTTGAAGAGCTGGGACGTCGAAAAGTTAATCGTGGGGTAAGGAAATGGTATATCTATTTGTAATTTTATTGTTGGATTATCAAATTCATTTTACAAGACTGTTCGACGACAATATCTTTTGTGGTGAAGTTTAACAATCGATCACACAGTATCATTACATTAAAATCCTAATGATCTACGGAAGATAATAAAAGCTAAACATCGGATTTATGTTTGTTATTGCAGGATGTTTATGTCTTACGCATTTATAATCGATTGGATGATTCCAAAAAAGGAGAAGTAAGTGATTGTATTTATTCTCATGATTATTGTGTTTGAGATATAATTATTCTTAATGCAATTTAGTAAAATTGAAAACTTGGTAGCTTGGTTGTTCAATAGCATGTTTTTTATGTTTGGCGGGTGGCTACCTTGGTTTGAATCAATGATATCAAAGACATCTGGGCTTACAACTTGTCCCTTTTACGATTGGGCCAACTATGATAATTTTTCTACTTTGTCCTTTGTCGCTTAAGCTTTAGGCCAAATTTTCTTGTGGATTATCTAGTAGTCTTTTAAGGTTCAACTAATTTTTAATTTGATTCAAACTCGACAAGAAAGTTCAACATTGGAAGAGTTTATTGATATGGTTATCTGTAGAGTGAATAAAAGTTATTGACATTGTTGTAAAATACAAGAATCGATAGCAAAATTGGCAAAAAGCAGTGACATTTTATAAATACTACAAAAAACAAATTTAAAATTCAACTTTCAAACAGCACCGAAGTGGGATGATCACTTAAAATTCTCTCTTGAAAATTTGCTATCTAGAAGCTATGAAGATTACCTGAAAGTCAAAAAAATTTATATCCTTTGCCACCCACATACACCATTAAATAAAGCTGCACGGGAAAGTTTGCTAACAATATCTTTGTGAAATTAAAGCCGATAAGCAGCAGTTAGAGTAAGCCCTTCATTTCATTTAGGATTCACGAACTAACTCAAAAAATTCCAAGGATGTTCTTGCATATATTCTTTGAAAATGTCGCAACTCACGAAGAAAAAAAAGATTCTTTTGGTTGAAAATATCAGTGGGCTGAAAATATCATTATTTGGCATCTTTTATTGTTGTAGGTTCCTTACATTCCATGGTTGCTTTAATTTTGGTTACATGAGCTGTAGTTCCTTCTTAACAGATGATAAATCTGAGAAACTCTAGTTCTTGAACCTTAAAGTACAATTCTTGGTAATAAAAAACTCGTTAGTGAGTTAGCTGTGGAATTCTGCCTCTTCATTGTAAACTGAAATGTGCTTTCCTAGATCTTCATGTACTTGAAAGTACTATTCTTTCATCTACCTAAGAGAAGCTTTTGTGCTAGATGGGAGAGTTGGACTCGAGGTTGCCTTAGCTTGTGGCTTTATCATCCCTACTAGGGGTCTTACTCTTAAGCAAGTAGATCTCTTTTTCCCATTTTTTTTTGTTTGAAGCGAATTGTTTCGGTAGGTTAATCTTAGAAAATGTTGAAGCTATTTCTACAGAGAGCTACACGGTTGGAAAAGATGAAGTTCATATCAATTATAATTTTCAGAGATCATTCATCTGTTCTTGGCATTTGAGCCCTGCTTCTCCCTTCCCCCTCTCCCGTTCTACTGTCCAAAACAAGGCCGGCAAGTAAGAGTTAATTGATCTCTTGAATACTATCCAGACTTTTGAAAGGGCATCTAGTCTTATAGTCAACCTCTCTAAATTGTGAGTGGCTTGATATAATACAGCTTTACAGGTTTGGAATTGCACCAAAGATTTGTTGCCTTCTAACTACTGGGGCCTCCCTCCTGGAGGCACTCCAAAGCGTTTGGGCTTTTGTTTAGACACGATGCGGAAAGTTCATTGCAAACTAAATAAATGGACAGACTCCTTAATTTCTAAGGGCGGCAGAGCTTCAAGAGAATTGAGACAAGGTGATCCTCTCTCACATTTTCTCTTCATCTTGGTTAGCAATGTGTTGAGTAGCCTATTGGATAGTGCCCACTCAGAGGGATTCATTGAAGGTTTCTTAATTGGCCAAAAAACACTTCATATTTCTCATCTCCGATGACACATTACTTTTTTTGTAAAGAGGAAGATACTTTAGTGAGCAATCTGTTCAAGACCATCTCAGCCTTTGGATGGCTTTCCGGCTTGAAGGTAAATCGGGACAAATCCGCCATTTGCGGTATAGATATCCCTCAGACTCGTCTTTCGGAGGTTGCCTCTAAATTCAAGTGCAAGAAGGAGACTCTACTGCTTTTATATCTAGATTAACCACTTGGGGGTAGTCCAAAATCTGCAGCTTTTGGGAGGCCCGTTCTTGAAAGAATTGCTCTGAAAGTTGACAGATGGAAGCGATATCAACTCTGAAGAGGAGGTAGCCTAACCCTTTGTAAGTCAGTTCTTTCAAACGTTCCATTATATTACCTTTCCTTGTTCAGCTGCCCTAAAAAATCAGCAAGGATATTGAGAAGATCATGAGGAATTTCTTTTGGGAAGGCAATGCTAAGGCTCCTTTGAAGCATTTGGTGAACTGGAAGATTTATTCACAGCACTTGATTGATGGAGGTATTGATATTGGTGGGCTGGTAAAGAAGAATAATGCTTTATTGGTTAAATGGGGCTGGTGGTTCTGTTTGGAAACTTCGGCCATTTGGAGAAAGGTGATTGAGAGCATTTATGGAGTGGATCCTTTAGATTGGTGTACTTTAGAAAAAAGGAATGGTTGTAGCCGCTGTCCATGGATAAATATATCCAAAAAATGGAGAAAGGTGGAGCACTTTAGTCACTTCAAAGTTGGCAACGGTCAAAGAACACAGTCTTGGTCTCATCCTTGGGCGGAAGGTATTCCTTTTAAGGACAGATTTCATCTCACTTATAGGATATCCTCCAATCCTATGGGTGCTATCTCTAGTTTTTGAGCTTTTTGGAGTATTGGGTTTTTCTTGAGTATGAAGAATCAGGTCATTTGATAGCGCGACTTTGGAGATGAAGCGTCTGTCTCGACTCCCGGTTTTTAGCGCGATGATTTTCTTCAAGTCTTTTCGATTTGTATCAATTTGTTTGGTGTGCTTTTAAGGAAGTTGAAGCTTTTTGCAGCCTCTATCAGTCGACATTTCTTTCTTCGCTTTCCTGAAGACAACATCAAGGCTGGTTTTTCTGGCCATTAATGGATTTTATAGATGTTAATTACCTTACAAAGCCTGCCAAATCCTACTTTTTTGGGTTTCTCTTCCAATGAAGATCAACTTGCCAGTCTTAAAAAGGAGTTGGAAAAAAGGTTAATAAATTCGGCTGTTTGTGAAGAAGCTAAGATAAAAGAAGCTTGGAGTTGTTTTTTTGAATGGATAATGGAGTACAACATTCTTTTAGCAAAGATTTGGCGATTTCCTTCGGTTCTTTCTTCCCTATTCGAAGATTCGTTTCAGCATCTATTATGGAGTTTCTTGAGCAAGCTTTTGGTTATCCACAGATTGTCTTTCGATTTACTTTGATTTGTCTTTTCATTTGTTCTCTTTTGTTTTATTTTTATGGTTTATTTTCACTCTTTTTGGAAGTTTGTACCTTAAAATATTGTAATTCCTTTTTCATTATTTAAACGAGAAGTTTGTATCTTGTTCTAAAAAAAAGGGGCGGTTAACCTTGATTCAAAATGTCATTTTTTAACTTCCAAGATATTCTTGTCTTTCTTTTCTCTTCCTGAAATTTTGATAAGCTGCCGAGGTTTTCATAGGGTACCTATTTAGGAGGAGAAAATCATTAGGCTAATTGGAAAAAAGTTACTTTTCCATTATTTATAGAGAATTTGAGTTTCAGCAACATTAACAAATAAAATAAAGCCCTTCTTTCAAAATGGTCCCTTTTTGTATCTTATGAATGCTAAACCAAGGACTACGGCAACTTCCAAATTTTTTTCCTAAGACATTCCAGCCGAGTACTTGCCACGACTTGATGCCAAAGAGCTGTAGTCTCAACGCTAAAACGCCAAATTTAGTTAGCATGATTTCAAAAGTTTTCAAACAATTTTTGAGCTGCTTACTAACCTGTACTGGCATTTGGAACAAAGAAAGGTAATATATAGGGGATACTGCCAAGCACCGAGAGACAAAGGGTCAACCTGCCTCCACATCAAAGCTGATATCTCTCCCACGTATCGAGCTTCTTCATGATTTTTTTTATTTGATGGGGTTCTAGAAATAATTCTTTTTTTAGGGTTACCACCCGAGGGCAGCCCTAAATACAAAATAGTTTATAATAAGTTTTTCCAGATATTATGTTTATAATGATTCCCTTTATTCCATTTGTGCCAATCTGGAAGCCTTTCTGTAATTATGTTGGCTAGAGTTTTTATTTACGAACTCTTTTTGTACATTTCATCTGTGAATCATTTTCCTTTTCTTTTTTAGAACTTATTCCTCCTGTATTATTTCATCCAATTGATGTGTAATTTTCTAACTTCTTTGGGGGTAAGGGGCTCTCTCTTTTTCTTTTGAACATTTTCCTCCTGAAAAAATGTTTTCTTTAAAAAGAAAAACCCACCGACTGCCAACACGTGCAACCTTAACAGGAAAGGTAATATGTAGGGGTACTACACTAGACTCCCTGAATCAATGTAAACCTCTCCTGTTGGGGATTTTTTCCATCTTCTAATAAGACGAGTTTTGAGGATCTACTAAAGTTTCTATTATGAGGATCTCCTAAAGTTTCTATTTCTTTAATGGAACTATTTCTTATAAATAGATGTGAAATTTGACTATAAAATTATTCCTTGGCCATAGTTGTTTTTTGGTAGCTATATGAGTATATTTTTGGGATTCCATAGATGACTTTTGCATTTTCTTTTCTCTGCTTTTTTGGTGGATAAAACATACACTCCTTTGCTATGTTTCTTTTTCCATGTAATTAATCTATAATCAACGGAACTTCTTTTTTAGTCGACAAAAATATTTATGGCATGCATCAAGGAAAAAAATTGTTCCTTTAATGTGTGTCCTTTTGCTTAAGATTGCCTGTGCTACGGCTGGAGAGGTCAGAAAATGGATGGAGGCATTTGATCATGCCAAGCAACAGGTACAAAAATCTCAACTGTTTGGTTAATTAATACTGTTTCGTGTCTGGATTGGCAATGAAGGAAACCAGAACAGCTGACAAATTTAATTCCCTGTTAATGAGAATGCAACTTGGAAGTTGTTTGAGATGAAAGACACTTGGTTCTGTTACATTGTAATGTTTCAATTAGTATAAATAGCAGCAGTAAAAAAAGTGTTACGCTATTTATCATGTGTTTAATCAATTGAACTGCTAATTTGATAGGCTGAGTATGAGCTGTCCAGAGGACATAACAACCGAAACAAACTGAACATGGAGGAAGAGTAAGCATTTTTCTTTAAAATCTCTGCATGAAGGTTTTCTAAGATTCTTTTTTGATATAAGTCGTTCAATGAGTTTATCTGGTTGGGTGAATGATTTATTTATTAATTATGCAATGGTTTTGAGTGAAATCTTGGTGTTTTCATTCGTGTGTTTGTGTCGGGGGGAGGGGGGGCATCTGTTAAAAAAGGTTGACTTTCTGATGTTAATATGTTATTACTTCTTTTACTTACCCCATTAAAGATAGTTGCTGATGTAATCCAATCTGAAAAGGAAGAAGTTCATTTCATAATCCTCTCAAAGATACAAGACATTGGTATTTATGGCTAACTAAGACGCAGCTAACTTAACTAACTAACAACCTTAAACGCTAACTAACCCATCAATTTCCCTCCTCTCAAAAAGGAACTCGCCCTCGAGTTACACAGCCAAGGCGAAAGAATCTGGAGGATCATAAGGATAAATGTCCGAAACGTTGAAGATGGGACTGATGTTCAATTCCGAAGGGAGTTTGATTTTATAAGCTTTCTGTCCATACTTTTGTAAAACTTCAAAGGGGCCAAACTTCTTCTGTTGTAATTTATGGACAGATACAGCTGGTAATCTTCTCTTTGATACGTGTATCATAACAAGATCGCCTTCTTTGAATTCTGTTGCCCTTCTCTTGTTGTCCGCCGTTGCTTTATACTTGGCAATAGCTTTGTGATTGAAGACATCTTGATGTATTTTGTTATCCTCTCTTCCATTTGCTCTGCCTCTAGGCTAAAATTCACATTAGAAGGAATATTAGTCAAGTCTACAGTTAAACGAGGGAGCTTTGTATAAACAACTTCAAAGGGAGGCTTCCCTGTAGATTTATTCTTCATATGATTAAATGCAAATTCTGCTTATGCCAAGGCCAAGTCCCACTGTTTAGGTTTGTCGTTGCACAGACACCGAATGAGGTTGTCAAGTGTTCGATTAGTTACCTCTGTTTGGCCGTCCGTTTGAGGATGGTTGGTGGTGCTATACTTAAGAGAGGTGTCAAATTTTTTCCATAGGGTCTTCCAAAAGTGACTTAAAAATTTGACATCTCTATCAGAGACAATTGACTTTGGAATATCATGTAAATGAACTATTTCCCTGAAAAATAGGTTAGCCACATAAACAACATCTGAAGTCTTTTTACAAGCTAGAAAGTGAGTCATTTTGCTAAACCGATCGACTACAACAAATACTGAGTCATATCCCCGTTGGGTCTTTGGTAATCCCAACACAAAATCCAATAGACAAATCTTCCCAAATTGTACTTGGAGTGGGTAGAAGTATATATAACCCTGTGTTTTGTTTGTGACCTTTATTATTTTGACAAATGTAACATTTAGAGACATAGCTAAAAACATCTTTTCGAAGCTGTGGCAAAAAAACCGAGCTGCTACAAGAGTTAAAGTCTTATCTCTGCCAAAATGGCCGGCTAGGCCATAATTACTGCTTCTCTTAAAGACGTGTGGGGAAGGCATAAGGTGTCTCCTTTAAAGAGGTATTCATTCAGTAAATGAAAATCTGTATGGGTGTGATCAACACATTTGGTCCAAATTTCATGAAAGTCAGGGTCATTAGTATATGATATGGGTATATCCGAGAAGGCTGTAATTTCTCCTTGGAGAACGGTTAGGAGTGCCCCTTTTCTACTAAGGGCATCTGCTGCCTTATTTAATGTTCCGTTTTTATGTCTAATGACAAAATCGAAGCGTTGGAGGAATGAGAGCCATTGTGCGTGCATGCGGCTAATAGATTTTTAGGAATTAAGAGAAAAGTGATATGTGAAGAGGATAAATTCCTGACTTAATAAGTAGTGTTCCCATTGTTTTAGGGCTCTAACAAGGGCATATAACTCTTGCTTATATGTGCTCCAATTCTGACGAGAGAGGCTAAATTTTTCTCCGAAATACTCAATAGGGTGTTGGTTTTGGGATAGGACAGCACCAATTCCAATGCTGGATGCGTCTACCACGACCTTAAATGGGAGGGTGAAATCAGGGAGACGTAAGACAGGGTTTTGGGTGAGCTTAGTTTTCAAAGTTTCAAAGCTATCCTGTTGTTGTTGTCCCCAATGGAAGTTTCCTTTTCTTAGGCAGTCAGTTAAAGGTCCTGCTATGGTACTAAAATTGTTTATGAATTTTCTATAAAAAGAAGCTATCCCTAAGAAACACTGTACTGCTTTAATAGTTCGGGGTTGAGGCCATTATGAAATAGCTTGAAATTTAGAATGATCCATTCGCACCCCAGTATTACTAACAAAAAAAATCCTAGAAATGATATCTCCTTAGTTAAAAAGATGCATTTTTTAAGATTTATGACTAGTTTATTTGTGTGGAGTGTTGTAAACAAGGTATGCAGATGTGTGAGGTGTTCTTCCCGAGTTATATAGATTAGAATATCATCGAAGTAGACAACAATAAATTTATTTAGGAAGGGAAGCAAAGCCTGGTTCATTAACCTCATGTAGGTGCTAGGTGTCACAACCATACTAGTAGAGAGTAGGTTCTGACGCCCACGTAGTGGACAAGTGGTGGCGACACTCATGTGTCGCCCGTCGGGCCATGTTGAGGGCCGAGAGAGAAGTGTCGTGATGCGACCAAGGAGAATG